GAGGAGGAGGAGGAGGAGGAGGCGGAGGAGGAGGAGGAGGAGGGGGGGAAAGGACGAGGAGGAGGAGAAGGAGGAGAGGAGGAGGACGAGGAGAGGAGGAGGAGGAGGAGGAGGACGAGGAGGACGAGGAGGACGAGGAGGAGGAGGAGGATGGGCAGAGTGGCACCAAACGTTCTCTTTGGGGACTAGTGGGCAACGCTATTCGGGGATAGGAATGGGCTCAGGGCGGGTGGCGTTCCCAAGGCTCGAGACTCGAGGTCTTTGGACGTGCTCCAGCCTCGGGGTGCTCTCCCGCAGGTGTGCCTCCTCCTCCTCCTCGTCCTCCTCCTCCTCCTCCTCCTCCTCCTCCTCCTCCTCCTCCTCTCCCGACGGCGACGACGACGACGGCAACGACGACGACCTGAGGTGCCCGGATCGTGCGGAACGGCCGCTGGAGACCCGAGTCATGACCCGAAAGTCAGGCGACGAGGATTATTGGGGGGGAAGTCTCAGGTGGGGACGCATCGACCCCCAATCACCCATTGATCGTCGATAGCGGCCCGGTAGCCCACCCCAGCCCGCCCAGGAACGTGCGGTTTCGCTATCGGGGGCCCATCGCCGATCTGTCCAAGATGCATTGCCGATTTCAGTTCGATTTCTCCCCCGCTGACCTAGTCCCCCGCCGTATGCATTGGGGCGCGTGGATTAGCGGCGGGCCTTGCTTCTGCGCAAAATCGGCGCGCTCCGTTGCCAAATCAGGCGGCATTGGTCTCATGTCTCGACCCACGCGCCAGCCAGATCCACGGTTCCCAAATCCGTGTTAGCGCGTGTCCGATCGGAGCCCTTCATGTGCCTCGGAGGACACCAACGGCTTCATCTCGAGGGAGGAGTTTACGGGTACTGGTGGCCACGGCGCTCTCTTCGACGCCATCGACACCAGGCGCAAGGGTGTGATACGGTCGCCTTGCGGCAATTCATTGGGGGCCAAGTGGTGCGTTTCTCTTACCCTTCCATCCTTTCGGGGGCGGCAAGGGATGGGTGATTCCGCGAGAGGATGCAGTTTTCGTTGGTTCTTGGAGGTTTTCTCGCCTCGGGATGCTTGCCAGCAGCTGCGCCTCGTCGAGGGCTTTCCGCGGGTGCTCGGACCGGCCCAAACGGCGCACGGAGGTACGAGGTATGAGCCGAAACCACCAGGCGTCGAGGTGGGGGATGGCCGGAGGGGGGAGACCAGGGCTGGGGCCATAAGATCGGCCCGACCATCGTGACCCCATCTTGGTATTCAAGAGGCTTGCGCCGTTCCGCTGGCCCCACGAAGAGGCGTGGAGCCCACGGTGGAGGCGTCGTGGGTTTCTGGGGCACCATTTGGGGGTTTGGTTGGGCCGTTTGGAGGCAGTTTTGAAGCGTATTGAGGGCCGCCTTGGGGCCTCTTTTGGGCCTCTGGGGCGCCTCTTGGGGCTCATTGGGGGCATCCTTGGTGCCGCTTGAGTTTTTTGGAGGCGGAAAGATGATGTTATGTTCGTGTTCTCCCTCTTCGCCCCTCTTGGGGCCCTCTTGGGGCTTTATTTGGCCGTCTTCGGTGCCTTTTAGTTGGCCTTCTTGGATCCCTCTTGGGCCGTCCTGGGGCCTTCGTAGGGGCCTCTTGGGCAGTTTTGGAGCGGTCTACGGGGCCTCTTGGGCCGTCTTTGTAGCGTCGGTTATTCGAGAAGACGATAACCCCAGAACAATGTCAAAGCCTGAGGAAAACCATTGGTGCTTGCCTCTCGGGGCCGTCTTGGAAAGGCTCTTGGGGCGTCTCGAAGCCGTCCGTCTATAGGCGTCTTGGAGCTATCGTAGGCGTCTTGGGCCAATCGTTCCGCGATTCGGGACCGTCTTGGAAAGTCTTCGTTGGAAACTCAAGAGTCTCCCGGGGTGCGCCGAGGAGCCTAGATACCCCCCCAAACCTTCTCCCCCCCCCTTCCCCCCCCCCTTGAACGAGATGTTGGACCCTGCGGGAGGGGGACAGCCAACATTGTCACACGCCTTCTCACCCCCGGCAAGCGGAGGTCAGCGGGTTTCAATCCGTCCTTTGGACCCCCCCTCGGCCGCGCCTGTGTCTCGCAGCATGATGATTACGCGAGTCCCCCTCTTGGACGCCCCGCAACTTCGCTCCTGGCGGTCCTGGCGGCAAGTGCAGTCCGATACCGCGTCAATCAGCGTTGGCAGCCCCCGGGGTGGACTTGGTGGTCGAAGAAGAAAAAAAGGCATACGGCATAAACATATTTTTTTGGCGCACCGCGCAGATTTTTGGGGATCCGTGCTGGGCCCCCCCCGGCGGCGCCTCGGGCGCCGCCCCTGGCGCGCTCCACGCGGCAGGGAGGGGGGGGTCCAGCGCAGATCCAAGAGATCCGCGCGGAGCGCCAAAAGTTTATGTTTCTGCCGTTTTTTCTTCTTCAGGTGGATCCTTTCTGGGTTGACCCTTGGGCCACCTCATCGTGGACGCAACGTGTCCCATCCGCGAGGGAGACCGGGGGGGCCGGAGAGAAAAGGGAAGGAGACGAGGAGAGGGATGGGCGGAGGAGTCTAAGAAGCAACAACTGCATACACAGCTTTTCGCAGGTCGGCGCAGATTTCTTTGATCTGAGCTGCCCCCCCTGGCGGCGCATCTGGCGCCGACCTTGGCGCGCTTCGCGCGCCAGGGATGAGAGGGGGTTCACCGAAGATCCAAGATATCCGCTCGGACCTCTGGAAGCTTCTGCTTCTGCAATGTGTTGTTCCTCTGAGGGGGGTGGAGCGGAAGTGTTGGACTTCTGGGGAGGGCCAGACACGGGGCGACATTGGATGAGGATCCCATGTCGGGCCCCGCATACCCTTTTGCATGCACGTCGTCAGCAGTCAGTTTGGCCCAGCAGAACCACGCAAGGGGCGAACCGTCACCCCGACACTGGCAACAAACATGTATCGACGTGCTTTGATATTCTGGCTTGATTGTCGTAACTTGGTCCGAATCTTGCGATCCTCTGGGGCCGCCTGCGCGGAGGAGTCAGGCGGCTGCCAGGCACCCGCCGAGGCGGAGTCCTCCAGAATGCCACGTCGAGCCCGTCCACCGCCAACCCTGTTCCGAGGCGCGGATTTGTCCATAAAACACCACCGCCTGGGGGGTCGATCTTCATGGACCTCGGCAGGCGGCAGACATGGTCATATGTGGGCCTGAGGGGGGGGGGGGGGGCAAACACATCCATACACGCCACCTGTCGTCGTCCCCGAAGATGTTGTGGATAAGTCCCCGCCTCGCATCCGTCTTCAGTGAAGCACAGACATGTCTCAGGGCGTTTGGCTTCGCGGCGCGTCCCGTCGTTTCGCGCAGGATCGGCGCCGTCCGTTGCCAGATTCGGCGGCATTGGCCTCAGGTCTCGGGGGCGCCAGGTCCACGGATCCCCAATCCGTGTGAGCGTGCGCTCCAGAAGGCGAGGCAGCAGCGCCACCACCACCGCCAGGGGGGGCAGCTCCTGCGATGGGGGTCCACGACGCCCCTCCCAGCTGGACACGGGGGACTCCTCGGGCGAGGGGGAGGGGGGGGGGAGACGCATCACGGGGAGGACCCTCCCTGGCGCCTCGTGGCGGCGTCGCCTTGTCGTGCCCCTACTTTGTGCCGCAATTTACCTTTTTTGCACTCGGTCCCACTGCCGCTCCCTCTCTGATCGCATCCGAGTACCGCTAGGTCAGTGAACGCAGGTGCTTTTGCGGACTCCCAGATCCCACTGTGCTCTAGGAGCCTTCTTGCTTCCATCATCGGGCGCGTTTCCCTCTTCCTTCGTCGTCAGGTGGCGGCCGGAAGCCCACTCTATCTTCAACGCATTCCTGCTTCATGCTCCTCACCACTTTTTACGACCAATGGGTATACAGTCAACCCGCATAGTGAGGAGGGGCAGCCTTCCCAAGGGTACCCTTGCATCCTTGCCCCCTCGGTCCATCCTTCGCCACGTTCGTTGGCCGCGCCCCGCTCGAAGAGCTTCGAATTGTGCGTCCAAGGCCCTTGCATCCTTATCGCGCATCCTTACTGCACGTGTTCACTGTACCCCAACATCCGAGCACCTAGAGGTCAAGCTATCACGTTAACCGTGTCTGACCCGAGGGAGGGACGGCGGATCTCGTTGACTGACTGGTGCAAGGCGTACGACCGGATGGACAAGGACAAGAAGCTCAAGCTTTCGAGGCCAGGCGTGCATTCCTGCAGTGCCTTCCTGTCGTCAATATTTCGCATGCGCGCTATAGTTCGGGAGCGAATCAGGACACCTATGCGTTTTGCAGAACGAGCTGGATTGCTCAACAGCGTTTGCTTGCCGTAGGGGTCGTTGATGATACGCCGTTCGAGCATCTTTGTTGAAGCGTGCCGTCTTTGGCTCGAGCCAGTTCGGAGCGATTGGAGAATATCCGTTGGCCCCACACAAACGACTGAATCCGCAAGGTCAGCACCAAGGAGTAAGGGTGAACGGCGGGGAACATCTTGCTCGTTACCCCGTGGTTCCTCGTGACCCTCGTGTGTCGAGCGGTCTCGAACCTCGACTTTGCGACCGGAGGCTAGTGGCTAGTGGCCTGTGGCCCCCTTGTGTCAGGGGCAGCGTTAGGGGGGGATAGGCTCAGGGTGGGCGGGTGCATCGACCCGCAATCGGCCACTCATCGCAGATGGGGGCCGGATCGCTCAGCCCCCCCAGGAGCGTGCGATTTCGCCAGCGGGGGCCTGTCGCCGATCTATCGGGGACGTACCGCCGATTCAGGCTCGATGTTCCCCCCCCTTGCGCCGGTCCCCCCCTGAAGCTCCCCCTTACTGCGGCCCCCGCTCTCCGGCCCTGCTGCCCCTGTTGCCTCTAGGGGCCCCGCACTTGCGTAGATAACCTTCCGACAGGAAACCGCGCTCCTGTTGATGTGCTTGCTCGCGGTCTGGCCAGAATGCCATGCGGCTCCTGGCTCCCTCCATGGCAGACCCGCCTTTGCCAATTTGCAGAGGGATGCGAGGCCCACCCCGAGAATCGAAGAACGAGTTGCATAAACAGAACTATTCGGAGCTCCGCGCGGATTTGTTGGATCTGCGGTGGACCCCCCTGGCGGCGCCTCTGGCGCCGCTCCTGGCGCGTTCCGCGCGACAGGAAGGGGGGTCCAGCGCCGATCCAATAAATCCGCATTACACCGTTTTTTCCTCTACTGGAGGAATCGTTCAGCAATCTAACAAACAACAGGTGTATGCTTGATCCGATCCAGACAATCTGGTGGTCACTAGAAGCAGTCTCTGGTGTGATCAGGCATTGCAATGGCGGCAAGATGCGTATGTCACGGAATACCTCAGTTATAAGCGGGGTGGAACATTCAGTTAGTCAGAGTCGTGCATTTCGGAGCCAAGTTCCCGGCAACAGCAGTCTGAGGCATGCCACGCCCTCTACGAGAGTGTTGTTTTTACCCTCTGGGCCATAACGCGCGGTATGCCCCAAACCCTCTCCGCCTCCCCCCCCCATAACGTAACGCTCCCCCCCAGTGCGTCCCCGGCACTGCCGCAGTGCGTCCGGCACCACAGTCTGGGGGGAGCGGGTGGGGTGCTACGTTATGCCCCCTCCCTTATCCCCCCCTCCCCCCCCATAATGACCGTTATGACCGCGAATCAAAAAGTGCGCTCTACAGAAGGACACGAGGCCCACCCCGAGAAAGGGCCCAAACGAGGGGCCGGCACGGGCGCCGAAGCCGAGAGGGGCTCGAGAGGGCGGCCGCAGCCCTTCGCCAGAGGCCGCGCCCCGCCGAACCGGGCTCCGAGCAAGGCAGACTGAACGCTCCAGCTGGGGCGCGCACGCGACGACGACGACGACGACGACGACGACGACGACGACGACGACGACATCCGTAGACCCCACGGGGTCGGTTCCAAGGCCACGACGGCCCGACTCGCGGGCCGGACGGCAAGGGGGGGATTGGGACAGGGGGGGTTACGAAATCTGCTGCATGCGGCTGGTTTCGGCCCCACCGAGGGGCCCATTCCTCGACACCCAGACCTCGGGCGTCTCGAAAAAATCGAGACAAAGGTTTTTCGTCGTTTTCGGCCTCTGGAGGCCCTCGCCGGGCCTCGGGACCGTCAAAAAACGACTCGGGATGAAAAACCGGTCCCGGGGAAGTGGTCGGGAGGTTGGGGGCCCGTGTCTCGAAAAAATCGAGACGTCGGATGTCTGGGTTCCTCGACACATGGGCGCGCCCCGGCGCCGGGAGGCGCCGGGAAAATCAGTTACGCGAGCTGATTCTCAACCCCCCCCTTTGCTACCCCCCCTTTCGCCCGACCCGAGACTCGACCGCGTGAGAGACGGGGTCAATCAGCTTAGTCGCGACCGCATTGCTCCCGGCACGAACGGCGCGCCGCGACGAGCGAGGTGCCGGAGCCGCCGAGCGGCGGCGCCCGCCCGCCGCGGAGAGCGGGTTGCCGGGGGGGGCGCCGCGCGCGAGCACGCGATCGTGGACGTCGGCTCATGTCAGAGCCCCGAATCACTCCTGTGGCGCGCGCTGCACTAATCCAGAAGCCGCATTAAAGTGATCATGTTGCCCCTCTGTGACAGAGGGGGTGCGTTTGGAGGCCCTCTGTGACAGAGGGGGTGCGTTCGGAGGCCCTCTGTGACAGAGGGGGTGCGTTTGGAGGCCCTCTGTGACAGAGTTGCTCGTCATCCCGTTCCTCCTCATCCTGCTTCTTGATTTCGGATACGTCATGCTACCACTGCGTTCATCATCTTTGCGTCTGTGATCCTCGTCGTGTTTTTCCATGCGTCCTTTTCACAATTTCCACTACATTATCCTACGTTGCCGTTCTGCCCCGCCATCTACCTCGTCACTCTCCTTCGTCTGCATGTCCTCATTCTCTTCCGCTCTTTTTTCTCCCCCCTCTGGTTCAATTTCCGCTATTCGCCCACTCCGTTCTTCCGTTTCCAACCCCCCTTCTTTTCAAGTTCTCTGCCGTCCAATCACATCGCGTCGTCCCTCGCCGCTATGCTCAAACAATCCCGCGCCCGTGGGATCGCCCGCGAGCAACGGTGCAGCTGGGCCCGTCGCGGCCTAACGCTTGCCTGCGCCATCGTCTTGCAATGGGCGATGCAGGCGGATACACATGGGGTGGCGCGGAAGGATGGTGGGATAGCCGCAGCAGCGGCTGGCGTGGCTGGGAGGACGGCCATGATTGGTCAGCGTGGGGTTGGAGAGAGTGGCGACAAGACGGGAACACGCCAACGGAGGACGCCAAATGGCGCGACGGCCCTGCCGCCTCAGCAGCGGCGGCGGTCTCGCCTCAACGGCCGTCTCGCTTCGCCGCGCTTAGCGTTGTGAGCCCCCGCGCCCCTGGTCTCGGCATGCCCGAATTCGATAATTTCGCGAGGGCTGCCCTCCGAAACTCACCGGAACCTGGGGGCGCAGTTGCAGGAGAGGGGTCGGGATCCCGAGCCGCGCCTGCGGCGCCGGAGCCCCGCGCCACCGCAGCGGCGGCGGCGCGCGGGCCCCAGGATTTTGAGAAGTTTGATTTTAATTATTTTTTGAGTTATGAAGAGAGGCTCGGCACTTCGTTTAAGCAACACAACCAAGCGTTGAAATGGTGGCGCCACCTGAATGAAGACCCAACTGCCCCGTTCGAGTCAGAAGCCAAGTGGTTTGACAATGCGGAGCCCACCGTGGTCGCTGTTTGCGACCACAGAAGCGACGAGGAAGTCCCTTGGCGGTGGCAAGAGATGGTGGCGACGCTCAGGGAGGAAGATATCAGGGAGGTCGCGGGGGGGCCCCGCAGCAGCGGGGCTCTGATCGGCTGCCCCCTCGAAGTCCGGCCAAACAGCTACGACCACATGCGCCAGAGTATTGTGCGCGCGCGACAGTTCGCGGGGCAGCGGGTGAAAGTGAAGCTGCCGATGTGGGATTTCGCGTTGCACCGCGACGACGGGACAGGCGTCCGCTTACACCCGCACTGGGGCGACAGGAAGGTCGAAGCTCTGCCCCTCATGCCCCACGCGGACACGGCGAGGCCACCAGCCGCGGGTTTGGGCGGGAGCGACGGGCCAGGAACCTATCGCTGGCACAAGGACCTCGGTGTGGAGCGCAAGGTCAAGTTCGACGCCGCCAGAGAGAAGGGGAGGCCGACGCCTTCTCAGGGGCCCCGCATCAGCGGGGCCGCGGCGTCCAGCACCGGGCCCTCGGCGTCCGCAGCAGCGGCTGGCAAACCAGTAGTTTGGGGACCGAACAGCTCCCCAGGCGATTTGGTTGCGGAGTAGGTGGCTCCGCAGCAGCGGGGCTCGAATGAAGGGCGCGTTGCATTTCGGCGGGGGCGCGCGCGTCGGCCGCCGAGATCGGGAGCGCGCGCGCAGGCGCCGTGGCGCGATCTTCGTTCTGAAGTCTCCCCTCTCCCCCCTGCCCCCCCATCCCGCCGCCCTCGACGTCGGCCCCTCGCCGCCCGTTCCTCGTCGCTCCACGCCTGTTCGTTCTCCTCCAACTTCCCCTCCCGCTTCCTCGCTCTCCCCTTCCCATTTTCCCCTCCATCCCATTGCATCCCTGGCACCCCATCGAAGTTCGCAGTTCGAAGTTTGAAGTTCGGAGTTCGAAGATCGAAGTTTGAATTTCGAAGCTTCGCACTTCGAGGTTCGATCTTCGAACCTTCGTCATCTCGTCGTCGTAATCGTCGTCCTCGTTCGTCGTCGTCGTTCTTCGTCGGCGTCGATTGTCGTCGTCGCTCGTTGTCGTCGTCGCCGTCGTCGTCGTGGTCGGCGTCGTCGTCGTCGGTCGTCGTCGTCGCTAGTCGTCGTCGCTGGTCGCCGTCGTGGTCATCGTCCTCGTCGTCGTCGTCGCGGTCGTCGTCGTCCTCGTTGTCGCCGTCGCGGTCATCGTTCTCGTCGTCGTCGTCGTCGTTGTCGCGAAACGCCCCACGTAGGAGGAGCAGAGAAGGGAGTAAGGAGAAATGAGCACGGTGGAGGGAGGAGGGAGGATTGAACAGGAAGAGGAGGGTGCAGGTGGAGGTAGAAGGGATGAGGTAGTTCAGAAGTTGGAGCAGCAGACTGGCGCAAGGGGAAAAGCCATGTGAGCGCAGGGAGGGATGGCAATGCGATAAAGTGAATCCGCAGCCGCTGCAGGTCTGCCTCCCGCCGCGCCCGCCCGCCTCCGCGACGGAACCGCGCAGGAGCCTCTGCCGAAGTCTCCGCGGCAGCGGGGACTGCCAGAGGAGGCCACTTCGCGGTCTTGCGCCGCTATGGCGAGAGCATCGCGGGCAAGTGCGACGTCGATGACTTCGAGCTCATCGCGACGGATGGCAGTGCTTGGAGCTGGGCGACCACGGTGGCGCGGTTCATCGAGCGGCGCAATCGTCGCCGCCATGCACGCGCCGTTGGAGTCAAGGGCCAGATGCTCGTCGACCAGGCGCGGCAGACGATGGAGGAGGCGCGCCGCACCGAGGAGAAGGGGAAGATGATGCTTGAGATGTCGAAGAAGACGGCGAAGGACATCCCAGGCAGCATTCGGTAACTACTTCTGCCGCCAGTCGCGCCAGGAGAGCTGAGCGGCGATCGGAGCTGGGCCGATAGAGGAGGATGAGGAGGAAGAGGAGGGAGGACGAGGAGAGGATGAGGAGGAGGGGGATGAGGAGTTGGAGGCAGCACGCGCACCCGCGCTAAGAGCCGCCAGCCGCGCCCGTCTCCGAGCTTGAAACCCGAGCTTGGCTGGAAGGGGGGAGGGTGGTAGCAGAAACAGCACAGGACAGGGATGGGAGAGGTCACGCATCCGCCGCAGTAGTGGCGGTGGTGCGACAGTTCTCATGGCGGCGCGGCGGTCGCTGAGAAATGGAGCAAGTGCGAGGGCCTGCGTGCGCTTAATTATGAGTGCCTCTCGCCCCCTCCCCTCCTCTTCCTCCATGAGATCTCTCTCCTGGTGCATATCCCCTGCCAGGTCTCGTCCTGCTCCTCTCCCTCTGTGTTCGTCCTGCCCTCCCCTCACGCCTCGCCTCCGTCTCCGCCCCCCCCTCGTCCGTTCCTGCCACCAGCCACATGGGGCGTTC